GAGAAATTGTGACTCCTGCGTAGTTTCTCCKTTTTYTTYCTTTTTTTCTTTTTTAATTTGGACCATTATCCATTTACTGCGACCCTGCCTGCAGCACAAACTCGTGAATGCAAGCCGGAAACAGACAAACGCTCCTGAGGATGGGACAAGCATTCATTCGTCCCAACCTCAGGCGCGTTTGTCTGTTTTCGGCTTTGTGCATTCAACAGTGCCGTGTGGCAAGCTGTTTCTACCACATTTGCCACATTTGCCATGTGCTAGACCTCTAACGACACAGTCCCCCTTTTTTGGCAGTGACTTCACGTCCTAGGGGCCCCGATTCCCAAAAACCTGGCCTGACGGTTATGTTGGGACCCGGATCTAACAGCCAGGCTTTTGTCTTTTGTCTCTCGTTCGAGAGCTTCACGGTAACACTACTTTGACCATTTTGACCATCCCACCATGCCGTGACACGGACTGAACCCCAACTTCCGACCTCCATCCATTCCGACCCTCCAAACCTCTCCCAAGGAACTTAGAACTTCCAAACAGTGGTTGGTTCCATGACGGCGGGTTGAGTTGGTCAAAGCGCAGCGCTAGCGCCTTGCGACCCGCGGACGGCAGGGCCCGTCCGCCAGGTATCGCAGAACCTCGTGGGGAGTAGGCTGAGTGGTCTGCCTCCCCTCGGCGTGAGCATCGGCGTGCCCCGGGCGTGCGACGCCGGGCGTGGGTATAGCCACGTGGCAAACGCTTGATGCAGTCCCGCCAGCGCACCACAGTAAGGGGACCTCGAGACGACGACAATAGATGAGGATAAGGACCGACGTCGAAAGGCMGACGTGAAYATTGGGACCTTTGGGCGATCGGAGCAGTGCACCGACAACGGACAGAAGGAGAGATCGGGGTCAACGGCAGGGAGACAGAGGCAGCGGTCAGAAGGAGAGATCGGGGCGGACAGAAGGAGAGATCGGGGTCAACGGCAGGGAGACAGAGGCAGCGGTCAGAAGGAGGGATCGGGGTGGACAGAAGGAGAGATCGGGGTCAACGGCAGGGAGACAGAGGCAGCGGTCAGAAGGAGAGATCGGGGTCAACGGCAGGGAGACAGAGTCAGAGGTCGAATTGGGGTGAGGACAGCTACGTCCTAATTCTAGGGCGGCGACAGGATGACCCGCTGCGGAAACTCACACAAGGGGAAGCAGAGCGAGYCCGCATCGTTCAGACTGCTAACAACATCGCGTCGATGGGGGTACTGACAATGGCAGAAATTCAATAAGGGCAGAGGAGAGGACAGGGAATGACGTGGCAGCGAATGGGGACGAATACGTAGCTGTGGAACAGGAGTGRGGGGCACAGAGAGGAGATCCGAAGAGGAAGAAACGGCAAGACAAGCAAACCGGGATCGAAACAGAGMAGGGAGTAGAGCGGGGAGGAACGGTAATGAAGGTGGACACCTATGCATGGGACGCAGGAAGGAGCATGCTAAAAAGGAAGTGAGTGATGGGAGGAAGACGGAAATCGACGGGCGAGTTATCGGAGAGGACGACGGCGGGTTGAGTCCAAACAACTGAATGAACGGATGCGCGTGGCTTGGGTGAAGAGGATCATTGACTGGTGCAAGTATCTATATCAAGCCTGTCGAGACCTTCCCCCCCATCCCCCGTGTCCACCGCCCTTTTGTTCTCCACTATTCCTCTCCTCATCCCCCGTATTCTCTACCCTGTCACTCCCCACTTTCTCCGGTCTCACCCCCCTGGGCCTATCATCCAGCAGCCCCACCCGTCATCTTAAGCAACATCTGCCATCTAACCCCCAGCGCCTCTGACCCCCGACGGCCCAACGATAAATACCTAACACTAAATATACTAAAAAGTGAACGCGTGAGGCATCACAAACAGCAGACAATTCCGATTGCGGAACGACCCAGCAAACCACCGGGTAATCTGGGCGGGGAAGCTGCACAATCTTAGAGCCTTAGTAAATTCATTGATACAGTGCCGCCATGTGTTTTTTTTTTTTTTTTTTTTTTTAAAGCTCGATAGGCTGGCAGCTTAGTGGTAGCCGGAGCGGGCCACCGACCGGTGCCACGTGGCATCGCCCCCTGGTGGGACGTTGGTAGGATCAGCTCCTGATGAATCAGRTCCCGATGGCCGGTGACACCAGTCACAAACCACCGGCCCTCGCCCCCGCCCAACAGGGGGCTTTGGTGAGGGGCAGACAACAACACAAAGCATATGCCCATCCCCYGGACTCAGAGGCAGCAGGCAGGGACATGGATACASGTATGGACGCCCTCCCCCAACCTCGAGGGGACAGAAAGGCTGATCGACCGGAACCCGTGGGTAATGAGGGAGCGACTGAAGGCAATAATAAGGAGGGAGCAACTGAAGGCAGTAAGAAGGAGGCTTGGAGAGACAAAGGGACGGGCTCGGTTCTCAAAGACACACCCTCCTCTTCTGCATCAGGGGGCACCAAATGGCCACCCCCCCAATTGCTAAAAGCTCTTTCTTCCCCAGCACAGACTGACGCACACAAGTCTTCCACCTGGACTCCATGGCCCCGCTCAAGAGCCACTTCATATAACAGCTGTATGTGGAACCAGAGACGAAATTCCAGGTCAAAGACGGGTGCATCTATCCCCATACAGTCTTCCCCCCCCCAAGCAAAGGCCGTGAGGGACACGATCTATTCACACAAAGCTGTGTAATTTCGGTTCCAACCAATCCACTCGGCACATCCAATCAACGACAAGGTTAAATGGATCACAGATAAACTTGGGCTCATTAAACCGGAGCGCCAGCTTGTCCACGACCACTTCCTCGTCGAGGTGGACAACCCAAGCTGCATCACAGTTGTTGCCCTTTACTCCACATACAAGCACCTTCTACTGAGAAACAAGTTCCYGCAGTTCAGAGGCACACCTGTGCAAGTCACAGCGTGGACCCCRGCTGACCCGCAGTCCAGTGACGAAAGGAGGGAGTACTTRATGAAATCGAACTTTTGGGTTGAGTTCAGATTTGCCCCRCTTCGCGTGCAAGGGGCCATTCTCACTGACCTCGAGAATATTGCCCATGTAAAAGGGTRCATCACCGACCTCCCGCAATTTCTCAGCAAACGGGAYGACTCCCTCTTGGTGGCRGTGGACTGGGATTCTTCCTACCCCTTCCCCCTCAATGAAGAATGGAGATACTCACACGGGGGTAAGGAATTCTCAGTCCCRGTCAGCCACACCCAAGACCCATGGTGCTATGCTTGCAAGATACGAGGACACCTCTATACTGATGTGGACTGTCAGTCCAACCACGAGAAGAAGATTAAAGGGCTCGTGATCCCCCACCCCAYGGGCGAGGAGAGGTGGTACCCGGAAGGGAAAGAGCTGGAAGACTGGGTCTTCAGAGCTTATGCAGATGGGCRCCCTGGGATATGGCTATGGCAGGGGAAGGGCCAGCCTACAGCCTTTCCTTCCGGGGCCAAGGTAGTGATTAACGATGGCCATGAAGCGAAGGGCAAACGAARAGCCCACCAGGATCAGCAAGAAACTGGACAGAATGGGACAYATGTGGGGAAGGGGAGYGAAGYCGGCAGGCCAATCAGACYGGAAGGAACCAGGAGAGGGCAGGCTGAAGGAAACAAGGGTAAAAGCGCTGGGGCAGAGCCGACCCTGCCTGCCTACCAACCCCGCGATGACCCGGGCCTGCTAGACCCAAACAGGTCCGGCCTGTTGAAGGAYTGGACCAAGCAGCTCATCCCCACCCYGCRGCGGCCTGGTCCCCTGAAAAAGTGAACCGAACAAGAATGGAAAATGGATCTGGCCAACAGCATGTTCCACAGGSCGTYGGGCTGCTAACCGYAGAGGGCCATCAACAGGCCGAAMGGCCTTACYCGCAGGGGAAGACTGACCCTCTCACCAGAACTGGCCATCAGCATGTTCCACAGGCTAAGGGGCAATTAACCCCTGYACCCCCTGCTCAGCCAGAGATACAGGGGCCGGATCAGGTGAATGTACAAGGGCAAGGGGTTCAGAGGGTGACACAGCAACAGACACAGGGGCCATAACAGAGATCAGGACGCAAGGGCAAGGGGTTCAGAGGGTGACAACAGACATAGGGGCCATAACAATTACTGAAATCGCAGAAACTGGACCGGGGATCAGGGCACAAGGTCAAGGGGATCAGGGGACAACATTCCACCGTCAACTGCTAACAGCATCAGGCCCATTGAAGGCCCCCGAGCCCCATCGAAGGACGAAAAACGGAGCTCTGAAGACAACTAGCCATCACCAGTCACCACATGCYGGGAGACTGTTAACCCCTGTGGCAGCAGGCCAGCTACCTTCAGGCCAAGTGAAGGGCCTCCAGCCCCAACAACAGACGAAGAACGGTGCTCAGAAGACAACTGCCCTTCAGCAGCCACCACAGGCCGGGTCTAAGTTATCTCCTGTAGCAACGGGTCAGCTTCCTGCGCCCCAACCACATTGTAGGAATGACCCTCAGACAACTAGCCAGCAGCGCTCGCCACAGGTCGTGAGTYTGTTAACCCCAGTGGCATCGGGTCAGCTGTCCTCAGGGCCTCAGGCCAAACRAAAGACCTCGCGCCCCAACAAYAGACGAAGCACAGAGTTCAAGAGACAACTGGCCATCAGCAGCCACCACAGGCCGGGCCTGCGCCCCAAATGCAGAGTAATAACGCTCCCAAACCATAACTGGCCAACCACAGAGTAAGAATGGTCCCCTGACGATAACTGCCCAAATGCAGCTTCCACAGGCCATGAGATTGTTATCCCCTGAGCCCCCTGCTGGCCCAGAGTCACCGGGTCCGGGTCAGGTGAAAACGGACACGGGGTGATAACTATCACCGAAATCACTGCTACTRGTTCACAGATCCGGCCAAGACCTCAAGGGGTTCAGGAACAGAAAGCAAGGAAGCACACAGAGCTCATCACCTTGAGCGATGAATCCGGAACACAGATAGATGCTCTCCGTGCCTCAAGTAGAAACATCCAACAGACCACCACTATGAAGGAGGTGGTCTCGGAAGTGACCGGGGAAAAGAAATTCCTAGCCCTGAAAACRCCCCTCTATCCTACCGTCCGCCAAGAGCGGCTGCCCCCACCTGCACCTCCACAGAGTGGACAGACACAAGGACACGAAGGCGAAATCATGCAAGGGGAAGGCCACTCCCTCAAAGGGGAGGATCATGGGAATGGGAAAACGCTTACACCTCAACACATGTGGCACAAAGCCAATTCCCTCCTTCACAAGATCAAAGACGTGGCTTTTTCTCAGCATTGGGAACTGTCGAGAGCAAAACAACCTAGGCCGGATACAGAACCCACAAAAATAATGGGGAAACAACAATGCTCTCAGCCTCGAACGACAAGGGTGAGGCCACCCCACCGCCTCACCACAGCCCCCTCCCACGAGAAGAGCCCCCCACTGAGGTACAAGAGTTGGCGATAGGGCAAAAAAGGGAAGAACAATGTGCTCAGTGCTCAAGGGACAAGATTGAATACCACCTCCATCCTCCCCGTAGCCCCCTCCCGTTCGAGAACACCGCCGATGAGGCACGAGAGACTCTGTCGGAGCCCCTGAAAGATAGCCAGCACGAGACCGAACCGACACGTCCTCATCCCGAGCCCCCTTGGGATGACCTCCACCAGGAACCCCCACCTGCCCTGCTGACCGGGGAGCCTCAACATCGGGGACTGAAAGATGGCCAGCACGGGACCGAACCGACAACACCTCATCCCG